AGTGTTAGAATTTGTGTGTTCAATTGTGTACAAATTCCTCAATATACTCCAAGTACCCGTGTGTAGAGAAGCGATTTTCTGAGAATGTACGTTAATGTAACACCATTTTTACATTTCAATGTAATTCAATAAGTCTTTTTCATTAAGAATTTATCCTTTCCTTGTGCAAGTTACTTTCTATATTTTTTACCAGTCTTTCGACTTTAATCATTTGTGTTCAATTCCATTTACGTTTGAAACAAGTTATTTCATTATGAACTCTATCGAAGTGTTCATTGTTTTTTCAAATTTTGTTTAATATCAATTAGCACATGTCCTAGGATTTGTGTGGTCGATCCTACAAACAAAACAAAATCTTTTTCGATTTGGAAGATCAACGGTTGTTCACCAATTTTCACGGCGAACAAATTGACACGCCTAGTGGGACAATGCTAAGTGATCATAAAATTTGCTTCGAAATTTTTGAAAATTCATTAGTTCTGCGGTCAAATTTCTCTTTGAAAACTTCGTTGCATGTTATTAAGAAGTGGTAAAGTAGCCATCGCTAACGAAGATATAGGAGGAGAATGGCGGAAAAATCTAACCAGTCAAATATTCCTCAAGATACGCCTAATAATAATGTGGAACCACCCATATAATCTTCGACAGGAGGACCAACAGTCCCTGCGTCTGTCTCTGAAGCAATACCATCTATGGGAAGTTTAATACCTACACATTCGATTGCCCATACACATACTCTACCACCAATAGGGGCTTCAGCATTTCGAAGCGTCTGGCCTCCTGAATTTGCAATACCCTTCCCTCTAGACCCACCCTATGGAATGGCAACTTCGATTATGGAAAACTTACAAAACGCCCCTCCATTATATACAGAACCCGTAATGATTTCGCCATTACAGGGATCAGACTCTGGGGTAAATATGGGTTAAAATAGTCAAACTTTAGGATTAGGGTATTCCGCCCAGATGCCAAATTTGACAACCAATTATGTATCATACTTAAGACAACATATGGACAAAAGTAACCTTTAAATGGTCCAAATGATGTCTCAAACTATGGGGGAAATCTTTCAGTCTCTTATTCAGAATATTACCCAAACTAATCAACAATTAGCAGCACAAATGACGTGCCTTGTAGAATTATTTGGTGTACCAAATCCCCCTCGACAAACACCAAGGGAGTATATGATAGAAAATCAAGGGGTAGTTTTCGACGAAGATACCACCATTAACCAAATTCAACAAAATTCGGGAAATATACCCCAGGCAAATCAAAACAACCAGGGAGTGATCGAACGACCTAGAGTCGAACCCCCTAGAGAAAAAGAACCAAGGGTAATTTTGGTAAATAGGAACCAAGATGCTGAAAACGTTGTACAACAAGTTCGATGTAACAACGTAGTAGCAGATAATATTTGGCTGCCATGGTCGAAAGAATCATGGCATGTAACGGAGTAAATGTTGGCCTTCGAAGGCCAAATTATACATCACCATTATCTGAATACATCCTTCCGTCAGATTTACCCCCAAGAACTAAGGTTCCTAAGTTTACTAAGTTTTCTAGAGATATTAATGAGTCCACTGTCGAACATGTGGCTAGGTATTTGATAGAAGCAAGAGAAAGTTCCAATGATGAGAACCTTAGGGTAAAATATTTCCCAAGTTCTCTTACAAAGAACACTTTCACTTGGTTCATAACCCTACCTCCAAATTCGATTCATAATTGGACTCAGTTAAAATGTTTGTTCCATGAGCAGTTCTGCATGGGACAAACAAAGATCAGTTTGAAGGAATTGGCTAGTATAAAATGAAAGTTTACTAAGCCAATAGACGATTATTTGAACAGGTTTCGACTTCTCAAGACAAGGTGTTTCACACAAGTTCCAGAACATGAGTTAGTCGAAATGGCTGTTGGGGGCCTGGATTATTCCATTAGGAATAAATTAGATACTTAATACCTGAGGGATATGACCCAGTTGGCCAATAGGGTTCGACAGTTAGAACGCTTGAAAGAAGAAAAGGCTAGGGAAAATAAGAATAAAAGAATATTCTATGTCGAATTCAATGAAGATGACGAAAGGCCTTACAATGGGCCTGTGAGTTTCAATGAGAATGAAGTAGATCTCGCTGAATTGAAACAAGGTTCACCCTATTCTTGCAAGGTTTTAGCACCTTTGAATGGAAATAACCCTGACAAACCAGAAAAGAATGATAAGTTTCCAAAGAAAACTTACACATTCGACGTCACAAAATGTGACAAAATCTTTGATTTGTTAGTTAAGGATGGGCAAATGATTGTACCACTTGGTTCTAAAATGCCTCCTTTAAAGCAAAGAAAGAAAATAGGGTTTTGTAAATACCATAATTTCTTGGGTCATAAAACCTCTCAACGTTTTCTTTTCAGAGGTCTTGTTCAAAATGCTATCTTGGAGGGAAGGCTCAAGTTCGGGGAGAAGTCCAAGAACCAGATGAAAGTTGACACTGATCCTCTATAGATTGTTGACGCTCATTATACGGAGGCAAATGAAGTCAACATGATCGAAGTCGCTGAAGATTTTGACCATGCAGTCAACATGATTGAAGTCACTAAAGACTTCATCAATGAGGTTGTTTTGGTCCAGGTTACTGAAGATCTCGACCAAAAGTTCATGAAAGATTTTGTTCACGAAGCTACTGAAGGCTTCATCAAAGAAACTACTGATAATTTTGAATGTGGAGTTAATGATGGCTTCGCCAAAGGAGTTATTGAGGACTCCAACCTAATGATAGTAACGAAGGAAACTACTAACGGTTTCGTTCGAATGGACAAGGTCGTTGATGGCCTTCAAATGAAATTCTGTAAAATGGATATTACTGATGATATCAATATGGATATCAACATGGTGGAGATCTCACAAGAAACCCCCATGGAAGTCGACGAGGAGCGTCGACAGGAAGAGTGTAACAAAGTGGCTTACCCAAATCCCGAGGAGACCCTTATAGATTTTCTCCACATATGCCAAAAGAAAAAGTTTGAAGTTATGCTGTGCCCAAGGTGCAGTGCTATGTTTGACAAAAAGGCATCAAGCAACATAGAAGGTGTGAGGAGGGCTAAAGAAAAGTGTGAGCACAGAGCCTCATACGGACAACGAGGTTTCAACCCAAAAATATCTTCTTCAAAGCAAGATGAAACTGAGCAAAGGGTGTCAGGAGTTAAGTCATCTACCTTCAAACCAATGGTTGAGGCTTCAAAGGGAAGTTGGATGAAACCAGTCGAAGGCAAGCATCATGGACAACATAAATGGCAAAAGTTCGATGTGGACAGGGGCTTATCAATGGCTTACCGCAAGGAGTTTCTGGCTTCGAAGAAGACAACATATGTCTCAGAAAACTATAAGGTAAAAAATCCAATGACTAGATCCCAATGGAGGAGGGAGCAGCGCAGAAGGAAGGCCCAAAGAGAGGCTGAGGCAAAGGCTGAATCTAGCACTAACCTGCCTACCATAAAGGAGAAAAAGGAGGAACCAAAGCCTGTCGATAAGCTACCTATGGGGAGGAAGTTGTTTTCCACCCATGAAGAGGAGGCTAAGGAGAAATACGATCGGGAAATTAATGAAGATGAAATGCTAACTGACAATTTCGGCTCTGGGTCAAAGGCCTCATTGGATATCATAGTGAATGTGGTATCGGTTTTGCCTAGAGAATTCGACCAGATAATAGAAGTCGAAGAGTTGGACAGTTATACAGAAGCTGGGATGGCAGCACACAAGGCAGTGTGCTACTATGTAATGAATAACGGTTGTGTCGAAGAACATAATGCGTTCTTCGAGCGGCCAGATGAGGCGATGAAAAATCATTTGAAACCTTTGTTTATTACCGGAAAGGTAGAAAACGTTGCGGTTAATAAAATCTTGGTAGACTATGGCGCTACGATGAATTTGATGTCGCACTTTATACCTAGGAGAATCGGCAAATACGACACAGATACCAAACCACACAACATGGTGCTCTCGAATTACGAGAAAAATGTGAGCACTACTCTTGGTGTCATACAGGTCGACCTTACAGTAGGGACAGTTACAAGACCTACTGTCTTTATGGTGGTCGAAACAAAGGCCAATTATAACTTGCTTTTAGGATACGAATGGATCCATGGAATTGGAGCCGTACCATCTTCCATGCACTAGAGGACTACAATATGGCGACTAGACGATATTGTCGAAAACATTAAGACTGATCAAAGTTATTTCAAGGCCCCAATTAATCATTTCGACCGGCGCAATTTCGATAAGCATTTGCCCAACATTACTCCATACAATCCAGCTGACTTTGTTTTCACCCCAGATGATGACGTTTACGGTTCGTTTTTCCATGATTTTTTTTCCATATCATTTTAGTAAATATTGCAAATATTATTGTACTTTTACTTAATTTATTTAAGCAATTGATAAGTCAATATATTTAAATCTTCATTAAGATAATGTTTTTTTTCTTCAATTATTGTAACGTTATACATTTTATGTATTTCAGAGGTATTAAAGATTATTTACATAAATAAATAAATAGAGGAATCGTTAAGAATTTAAATTTTACTTATGAAAATTTTTTGATCTAGTGTCAAGTTTGATTTCAAACTTATATCAAATATGTTAAATTGCAATTGATTAATCCACTAACGAATTGCTTCAATAAGAATGACCCTAGGCACGAAGCTTATGTCAGAGCGTTGTGCTAACATAGGTGATAGGACATCATAGTATGTAATTTCATTGATATATTATCACGTCAAAATAAGAACACAAGATATCAAACTTGTGTAATTCCTCTGATGAATTGCCACATTAAGATGTCAAAGTTACTCAGACATTCTGTCTTGCATATATCATGTGGCGAGTTGGACATATCAATGTTACAAATTCACAAACAGGTAGTCAAGTGTTCTTAAAGCATTCAGCTGTGTCAAGAACTTGATTATAAAATCACAAACGGACAATAACTAGATTACAAAATCCATGTCCTCCATCATGTGTTGAAACTAGAATTGGCGCTGTGCATTTGGCGACGAAGTTCTACCAGGAAGTCCCGCTGTGACACAGAAGGGGGAGCACTAGCAGCTGGTGACATAATCTGCAGAAAAATATATATTAAAAAATCACATCAGATTTAGAAAGCAAGAGGGAGGGGAAGGAGATTTAATATAAAGCTTACCTGATGAGGGAGTCTGAACTGAGTCCAAACTGATGTCCCGCCAGAATACATAACTGGTTTTTCTGAAATGTGAAAGGTGTTAAAAAAAGAAAATTAATAAGAAAAAATCATGTCTATCTCAAACAGATCACATGCCGCGTGAAATCTACTATCACTGCATTTACGAAGGTCGCTCATGATATCACTGCTACATATAATATATTCTCACAAACTCGAAAAATTGTTAAACAAGACATTCAAACAGCAATATAGAAACCAAGAGTGTCAACACCACAAAGCTAACTAAATAATGACACCATAACTAAAAGAATAATGATACGATTTCCATCAGTTATAAGTCCTCTCAGTTTGTGTACTACATCAAAACAGTTGGGGTAAACGTAATTTATAAATCACAGGTAAAAGGCCAAATTACAAATACTACGTGAGATGAGTCCTCAAACAATAATTAACTGTATTTCGGTTCGAGTCACCAAACTCTTGTAAGTATATCACTTTTGAATATATAGTTGCCAAGCTTATAGATATATTACGGGTAAATGGGTAATTATTGTAGCAGTAGTTAGCTTGAATTATTTCATAGCTTTATTGGTGACCTCAATTCAATTCACGATAAACTTGAGAGACGCAAAAACAAGTTGAAGTTCCATCAACACTAAATAGTAAACACAGTTACAAATTTCACGAATTGAAAAGGTAGTCATTTTGATGATTGGCCACTAACCAGATGAATCTTTGGGATTATTGTAGGACTGTATTGCAGCTGTCCAACCTGGAAACAGAAATTCATAACCAACAGAGATAACATGTAATGTTAGTTAATCAATGATATTCACATAACAAACCAATAACAGCAAAGTAACAACAATTCCTACCCTACCCACCCACCCCTCCCTCACTCTTCTCTTTAATGCAATAAATACCGATTGGTGGAGAGCTAAGTAGATGAAATATGAAATGCAACCGAACATTTAATGAAACAAAAGGTTGCAACCATGTAAAAGCAAGACATATATTCATTATAAGCAAAACAATTCCTAATAATGTTTTACTATTTATTTATTTTAGACTTGAGAATTGGCAATCATCTGTCAAGTAAACTTACTCAACACGACACAAACAAGTACTCGGGGAATTCATAGAGAATGAAGGAGAACAAATCATGTTAAATAAAACTAAATATTGGCCTTATCATCCCTTTTTCATGGACAAAAGCATCACGATCAATAAACTCGTATATCCTAAAATATTCATATCTCAATCCTAATTGATAGTATTTGTGGTGTATCAGATACTTATTATAGCTAATGAGAAAACCTAATGAACAACAGAAATCACCGGGGTTGGGTTAAAGAACATTAAACACAAGGCGGGGCAGACTCACGATCATTGAGAAGCTGGGAAGCTGCACTGCTACTACAGCCTTCTAAAGCAATGAATCTTGAATAATGATTCTCATGAAGAATATTACTGCTGCTAGCATCTCCGTGATCTGGAACTTGAAAGTTTCTCGAAGAAGTAACTTGATTCTTTTCTAAATCACTCCCAGCGCTGTTAGTTCGATCAAGCCGATCTACACAATTTGATAGAAAGCAGACGACATGTACAAATTAGAATCTAACAAAATAGAGCAGGAACAATACCCTTTCTTCAAGTTATATAAACCAATATAACCTCATTGATTTGCTAGGTGTGCAGAAGTAAAAGTATAATGTGCAAAACCTAAAAAAGTAAATAACAAGAATTCATGATTGATGAAACAGAAAGGGGGTAAGTAAGTAGTAAGAAGAAGAATTAGGGGAAATGAAAATAAATTAGGGTTGATGGATGAATGGATTAAAGAAAGAGAGGTAAGGACTAACCAGATGATTTGCGTCTGTGGGTAGAACGGTTTCTGCAGGAAAATGAAAATGATAAAGATAGTTAGAAATGAAAAAAGAAAGAGAAAAAATAGAAAATAGAATGAAAATACCTCTGATTGGGTGGAGCATAGCGCTTCACCGTAGTGGCGGATTCCGGTGGCGGAGGGTTTTCCAGCATCACTCACTCTCTCTTTTTGTCTTCTTTGTTTCTTCTCTTTCAAATCACAATAACAACCCTGCCTTGGTTGCCTCGAGAATACAAAGAGAACGCTACGTTCTTTTCTTTGACCATTATTTATTTTAGGCTTAATTGCAATTTTATCCCTTTTTTAATTGCAATTTTGCCCTCAAACCAATTTGAAAATAGCTTTTGATGATGTAGCACTTATTTTGATGATAGGACAATATTAAGTTATAATTAATTTTCCAGCTTATTATCTATTAAATTTTTAATGTTAGTTTATTTAAAAAATTTTCATTAATATATATTAATAATAAATTAAAATTAACTCAATAATATATTTATTAATTTACACACTAATTAGTTTATAATGTGATATTCATTATCATTCTCTTTCAAAACGTGTTTTTCTTGTTTTGAGAAAAGTTGTTCTTCTCCAAAATAAAGAAACATAACCATTTCTCTCATCTTTTACTAATCTTTAGATTTGTATCTGTAACCTAATCTTGTTGTTTTATTCTCTTCTTCTTCTTATCTTGTTGTTCTTTTTTTTTTGGGTATTAGGATCAACATATGGTTTGGATTTTGGATTCAATAGTTATGTAGAAACAAATTAAGATTTTGGATTCAAATTTGTAAGATGGTCGCGGTATTTATACTAGATCGACATTTTTTTGGAATCCAACGGTGGGTCTGTGCACGATTAAAGAGTCTGAGTGCGGCTGAGGATGGAGGTTGTGTGGTGGTGGATATGTGCGGTTCGTCAATTTCTCTCCTCTTCTCCTTCTTTTTGTTTAGTTTCAATTTTCAGTTATAGGTTTGATGTTGATATTCCTCATGGTTGTGTAAGCTATTGATTTGAATAATGGATGAGGGAAAAAATTTTGTTTTGGTAAATGAAGTTTGTTAAGTGTATGTTTTTTTTTATTGTGAGTTATTGGAGATAAATTATAATTGATGATTTGTTGTTATTGGTGACATTGTGTTATAATAAAGAAGTAAAAGTTTTGATAATTATTGAATGAAAAAGGAGAATGAGGTGGAGTTTTGATGACTAAGGAATGATAAGGAGGAAGAAGTATCAATCTGCATTTTTTTTATTGTTGAATTTTCTTCTATTTTTATTTTCTATCCATTCTAGCCTTTTTTTTTCAATTTGCTATTCTCCACCCTTTAATGTGTTAATTATTTTCTTTTAATAAAAAAATATGGTTTTAAAAAGTTTATAAGTTAATTTAAAATTAAATAAACTAATATAATGTTAAAATAAAAATAATCAATATGAATTTGCCACATCATCAAAATAAGTGACATGTCACTAAAAGTTGGTCCCAAATTTTCAAGAGGACTAAAATAAAAAATAAAACTTAAAAAAGAGACGAAAAACATAATTTTTAAAATGGAGAAATCAAAACTAAAAAATAAAATAAAATAAAAGGACCAAAATTACAATTAAGCATTTATTTTATTTTAATATTTAATAGATCAGATTACTCTTCATTAAATGGATCTCATCTTCTAACCATTCCTCTTTTTTTTTACTCATCCATTAATTAAATCAATTTTTCTTATCACTCTAAAAATATTTCTTATCATAATCCTCCTTTATTTTTGTATCATGCTTTATTTATTTCTCTTACCTGCCAAAAAAATAAATAAATTATTATATTTATAATTATTACAAGTTTATTATACTGACTCATCTGACATCCTTGTGATTTGTATTTAAAAATATATTTTTAAAAGTTATTTATAATTAATAGATTTATTTTGTGATGTATGCATTTTAGATGTTTTTTTTTCATACATGTATTGACAATAAATTTTTTTAAAAGTAGTAGTATGTTCGAAAATCTTAAATATTAACATACATAATTAATTTTGTGTATATTGAAATAATTGCTAGTAATTTTTTAGACACTATGGTTATGTACATATTAACGATTCTTTGAGTATTCAAGATTAACAGATATTTTTTAATATGCATGTATTTCGAACTTTGTAACAAAGATCCTTGACGCCCTCTGAGGCAATGTATGTTAGATTTCATAATGAAGATCTTTGTCGTCCTCTAAAACAGCGTATGTTGGACTTCATAATGAAGATCATTTCTGCCACTTGAGGCAATGTTTATATATTGGACTTCGTGATGAAGATCATTGTCACCCCTTAAGGTGATATTTTTATGTCGAACTTCACAACAAAGATCCTTATCGCCCTCAAAAGCAACATATGTTGGACTCCTCAACGAAGATCATTATTGCCCTTTAAGGAAATGTTTTTATGTTGGGATTTTTGACGAAGATTCTTGCTGCCCCTCAGGGCTATACAAATAAGTCATTCAAACTCCATCTGAGGGACTTAGTGTTTGGGTGGGATCAGACTCGGGAATCACACCTAAGAGGCGCGACTAATATCTAACTTAAGAGACTTGATGACAAGTCTAACCCGAGGCTCAATAGAAGTCCCACCTGAAAGGTTAAGCACCTGCATAAGGGATTTATAATCTCATCGGGTTGACTACATATAATTTTCCTCGAGGGACTTGGATTCTCGGGGCTAACTAAACTCTCATCCGAGGAACTTAGTGTTTTCTCGGGCGGGATCAGACTCGAGAATCATGCCTAAGAGGCACGACTGATATTTAACCTAAAAGACATGATCACAAGTCTTGCTTGAGGGCTCGATGGAAGTCCTACCTGATAGGTTAGATGCCCTTTCAGAGGAACTTATAATCTCATTAGCGGGGCTACATACAATTCTTCCTAAGGGACTTAGATTCCCCATGCTAACTAAACTCTCACCTGATGGACTTAGTGTTTGTTTGGGCGAAATCAGACTCAAGAATCATGCCTAAGAGGTTCGACTAATATCCAACATAAGAGAATTGATCACAAGTCTTTCATGAGAGATCAATAGAAGTCCCGCCTAAAAGGTCAAGTGCCCCGCCTATAGAACTCTTAGTCCCATCAACCGATCTATATATAATTATGTCTAAGGGACTTAAATTCCTCAAACCAACTAAACTCACGCCTGAGGGACTTAGTGTTTCCTTGGGCGGGATGAGACTCGGGAATCATGCCTAAGAGGTGCGACTAGTATCTAACGTAACAGACCTTATCACAAGTCTTGCCTAAGGGTTCGATAGGAGTCTTGCCTGAAAGGTCAGATGCCCTGCTTGAGGAACTTATAATATCATCAACAGGGCTACATACAATTCTGCTTGAGGGACTTAAATACCCCTGGCTAAATAAACACTTGTATAAGGGACTTATTATCCCCGTGCGGGATCAAACTCGAGAATCACGCCTAAGAGGCACGACTAATATCCAACTTAAGAGACTTGATCACAAGTATTGCTTAAGGGCTCGATAGAAGTCCCACCAAAAAAGATCAAGGGTCTTGTCTAAGGGACTTATAGTCTCATCGGTCGAGTTGCATACAAATTTTTCTGAGGGACTTAGACCTCTCGGGCTAACTAAACTCTCACCTAGGGGAGTACGTCCTCAATGAAAGTGGGTTCTCAGAATACCCTTTTTTCTTGGAACAATCTAAAAACACTTTGTCATATGTTAAAGGTCTTGTGCTTTAGGGATTATGTAGTGTAATATTTGTGATAGAAACCACATATTGCAAAGACTTTAGGCCGCCCTATGAGAGGCAACGACAAGGTGTCGCCTGATGGAAGGTATCACCTCGCTCCTTAGGGATGCTCGTGGACGATTAATTTTCATAACCAATTCACAATTATATATAATCTACATGTTATAATCGATTATTAAATTCAATTGTCATAAAAGATTTTCATTTTCTTTTAAATGGTTATAAACTAGCTATTAATCGATTATATTCATATTTGATTTAGAATTAATTTTGATTTAACTTTTTTCTTGTTAAAAAAATTATTTAAAAAAAGACTCATTTTTTTTAAAGAAACAAATATTTTAAAAAATAGTTTTTTTCTTAAAAAATAGTTTTTTTCTTAAAAAATAGTTTTTTTTCTTAAAAAATAGTTTTTTTTCAAAAATAACAAAGAATCGTTATTTATTAGAATTTTTTTTCAAAAATAAAAATAATTTCAAACAAATATTGTTTTCTTACAAAAAAAATTCTCTTTTATTTTCATTATAACAAATGTTTTTTTTATAAAACATTTTTTTGTTAAATGACAAATTTAATTTTTATTTTGGATATGGATATAAAAAATGGATTTGGTTATAACCATATTAAAAAAATATTTGAAATATGAATTTGATTAAAATCATATTAATATTGAACTGAATTTGGATATGGATATGGATAATTCAAAAAACTGGTTAATTTGATCATCCCTAATTTTTATATCGCTTAATCGTGAAAAACATGTGATAAGACATTCCTTGAATAAAGATAGGTAAGGATCATTAACCGACCCCACACCCCCTTAAAAATAGATATTCAACGATCCACCATTAATTAGGTGGATGAAGACCCTTTTTAAAAAAATCTTAGGTCTCGAGGGCCTATATAAATATCTCTCCCTAAATGAAGAAAATGACATATCATTACGCCTTAGATATAATGTTTGTACAAATCATAACTCATACTCATCACACCTAACACGCTTACAATAAGCACACCGTTCATCTACATAGTTTCTCACTTCACATGAGGCAGAAATCCTAAACCCACCATAAAATATCATCGTATAAGACTTTTCACCATATTCTAACCACATATGCACTTTTATGCACTTTTTAACCATTCAAACATGTCATGTCATTTTAACATTTAACAATCATGACACATGAAAAAAGGTATCAGCTTATAAAAGACTAATCTTTTATAAATATTGAACCTTAAATACATATTTTTTCTTTTTAAAACAAAAATATACAGGTAATCGTACATTAAATAAAAATGTTATTAATTCTTTTTTATATAGTTTTTAATCTCTTGTAAAATGACCAATTGAATTAGTTAATTTAAGACAAATGGATTATATGGAGAAAGAGACA